GCCGAGTTAACGGCCCAAATTGACAAAAGGATCAACGGAGTGCATTTTGTATAGTTGATGGATCAAAAAAGTGCAAAAAATTGTTAAGGAACCAAAAATGTGCAACTCACTAAAGTTGAAAGACCAAATTTAACATTTAACCTGAATTTAAATACTTCCATCTCAAAATTGTAATTTTTTAAAAACAAAAAATAGGACAAGTAAAATAAAATGAATTAAACGTACTATCTACGTAGTCACTCAAAGGAGACTGGGATGACATAAGTTGATATCTTTAATCTTTATATTCTTTTCATCATTTAATTTCCGTGGCAGGGCTTTATTATTTATTTATTTTTATTTATTTTTATGATGATGAAAGTGCAGTGTTGATTGTTGCTCCTATGGAAAGGGGTGGCAAAATTGTGAGATAAATGAATGAGCTTAAATATTAATTACTTTTTTTATTTTTAATAGTTTTATTTTAATTTTTTAAGGTTAAATATTAATTTTGGTTTTTCAACTTTATAGAGTTACATTTTTTTTGTCATAAACTATTTTTTACATTTTTTTGATCTCTCAACTTTAAGAATTGCACAATCGTTGTCCTTTCATCAGTTTAAGTCGTTAATTCTGTACATGTGGTATTTTTTATTTTTTTTAATGACATGAAAAAGATAACTTTAAAAGGTGCTAATATGGACCAAATATTATGTTAGGTGGCATTTTTTTTATTTGTTATAATGACGTGAATAAATAATGTATCCTTATTACTCCTACTTGGAAAATTAAGGGATCCACTTGCCTAAATTAATTATTTATTAAATTAAAAGTTTTAAAATGAAAATTTTACCCTTTACTCCATTTTCTACCTTTGGTCTCCTCTTTGTTTCCGGCTTACCTTTCTCCATTCTCCACTGCTCTCTTTCTCTTCCTCCTTCTTCTTTGCCTCTCTCTCTCTCTCGCTTTGATTTCTTCCACATCATAGAACCCAACGATTTGGGTTCAAACGAACCCAGATCTGGGTTTCACGGAACCCAACAATTTGGGTTTGTTTGAACCTAGATCTAAGTTCTGTGGAACCTAACACATGGGTTCAAGGAACCTAAATTTCTAGGTTTTCAAGCCCATGTTTATAGATTTTTTCCTTTGTTTGATGGATTTTTATTTCAAGTATTGTGGTTTCAAATATTGTGGTTGTGAGATAGCAATTTAGTATTATGAATATTGCAAATTTTTGTTTATATGTTTTGGTTTGGCTAGGCTATTTCTCTTGTAAGTATGTGATCATTAAACTGGATTGAAGTAGTATGAATCTTCAAGGTTTTGATTTGATTTTGTTGCAGGGTTAATCATCAGTGTCGAAAAAGAACTTTCCAAGAGAGAAATTTATTAAATCTTGGTTTAGGTTTTGTTATTAGATTT